TCAAGAAAGAACTAGTTACCACCTGAAATTCGAAATTAAATTTGAAATAACATAGAAATTAATAAAACATCAGATTTTCGTTTCAGTGGCACATGAGTACATGAGATATATTGGTACTTTTCTCCACCAATTCTCGTTCTTTATAGCTGAAACTTTCAGCATAAGTCGAGTAATCGAGTATGTATCTGTGATATAAATATCAGACCAAACAACAATAGTAGGGAGAAATAACAGGCAAAATAAGGTGTTCCGTTTATTTTGGCCAGGGAAACATATGGGCGTGACCAATTGGCTTGGTACCCCAACTCTATTTTTATGCATACAGCGTCTATAATATATCAAAAAGAAATGATTTTTTTAATCATTTATAGCCCTCGTATAACGCTCATGATCTGTGGGAGATAAGGGGTCTATGTCTTATTTGAAGCCGAAACAATGAAGTATCTTCGTAAAACCTGTACGTCAATACCACAAGGTTTTACGAAGACACTTCATTGTTTGAGTTTCAAATAAGACATAGACCCCTTATCTCCCACAGATCATCAGCGTTATACAAGGATTATAACTGGTAAAGAAATCATATCTTTTTCATATATTATAGACGCTGCACGTACAAAAAGAGGGCTGGCGTACCAAGCCGGTTGGCCACGTCCATATGTGTTCTCGTCTTTAGTCACAAGGTTAACACTTAACGAAACATCTTCAAGAAAATGGATAGGTATCCTTAGAGAATTGACGACTATTCAGCAAAAACTGCGTCGTAAGAAGACGAGACGAGTCGTCAAACCTCACATCGTTTCATACACACCGCACTGCCAAAAATCTTGCTTTGTCAGGTGGTGAGGCGGTGTAAAACATCAGTTCGCGAATCTCTATCTAGCATTTGTCACGACCTATGGAGAGTGCATATTCCTACCCGATATACTTCAACACTTTTTTTCGACGATGTTTCATAAAACAGGCAATTTTGCGTATATCAAAAAGCAGAAGAAGAATGCATGTGACTTCTATTATTACTTTTATCTTTATCGTCGTAGATATGAAAAATAATAAAGACTACCTGGTGATAAATTATCACAACGACATACACTTCAATTAGATTATTTAAAGAGGTAAAAACAAAAAAAAAGGGTATTATCTTAGTAGAACCTTTGAAAAATAAATCATTTGCTATAATAATCGATATAATTAGAATGACATTTGGTATTCGTAATATTGTGGGCATTCATCGTCTTCATATAGGTCAGAAAAATTATTTAACTCCTTTGTTATTCAAAACATATGAAAAATGGTCTTATTGGAAAAAAGAAGCATTTGATTATCTTATTTGGTGTCATTTATCTCATGCACTTGACTTTAGTATTGCACTTTTATGTTGGCTTTGGATATTTCCAATAACATTTCCTGAAGCAAATCAATGGCATATTAAATGGGTATCACGAGTTTTTCTTTATAATATAGCTTGTGAATTTATTTTTTATTCATTTTGGCATTGGATGACTTATGGATGTACAAGTCCATATCCTCGAGGATCATTACATGAAAAAAAATGTAATCCAATTAATCAATATGAAGAAAAAATCAACATCAGTTATTAAGAGAAATAACATTTACAACACTTGGTTGGTTACAATCAGCTTTTGTACAATGTGTTTTTATGTGGTTATGGGCTAGTGGTCGATTACCTTATTATAATGATTTTTGGTCTCGACCATTTTTTTCGATATATATCCTTTTGATTATTGCTTATTGGAGAGAATTTCATTTCTATTGGGTAAATTAGATCATTTCTTTTCAATTGTAAATTTATATTGTTTTTTATTTTTGAAATAGGTTCATCGTTTTATGCATCCATGGTGGTCTGTTCAAAATGGATTACGTCAAGGTGATATTGGTGCATTTCTTTATCGTCATATTCATAGTCTTCATCATCGAAGTTATAATCCTGGCCCATGGTCTGGATTATCTATGCATCCAATTGAACATTTTATTTATTATACATGTGCCTATTTTCCTCTTCTTTTTTCATGTCATCCACTTCATTTTCTTTACACAAAATTTCATGCTGATATTGCACCAATTGGTGGTCATGATGGTTATGATTATCCAGCTGGTGGCAGATCCTTTCATTATTTGCATCATGCATTTTTCGAATGTAATTATGGAGGACCATTGGTTAATTTTGATCGTCTATTTGGTACTTACAAAGAATCCATCAAGAAACCATCAGGAGATGATAAACAAACAAATTAAATATAGTACATTATTATTCACTTTGACAAAAAAAATTTTTTTTGTGCATTCATTTGTCTTGAAGGAATATTTAGATGATCCAAAGATAAAAATTTCTTAAATACTTATACTACAAGCTACATAAACAAAACAAGCGATGTGTTTTTCAATGCATCATATTTTTCCTTATACTATTTCACTAGGAAGAAACAGCATACT